ATTAAGAATTAATTCCACAATCTTTATAGAGATATATTAGCCAAAAAGATACCAATGGTGTACTTGAAAAATTGACAAGATTCATGTAAATACTGTTGCAGTGTACCTCTCCAACACAAATTCATGACACCATGAATATGTCTCCCTCACACTGTATGACAATTGTACTACAGAGTTGTAAAAACCACCCTTTCCCTCCTACTGTGAACATAAATGATAGTATTCAAGTTTATGTACACATTTGGAAATTGTCTGTAGATTTAAGAAAACCAAATCCTTTTCTCAACAACTGCTGCCATCTTTGTTCACTGCCTGATGAGGCCACACTGATTTGATTACATGGATGGCATCCTCTAGGCACCCAAAAGCTGATGGGAGTGTGCAAGAATAGTTGCCTTCGTTCATTATGAAAGCTATGTGGTCAGGAGGTTGAACAAGTGACAAATAATTTATGTTATCTCCATTCTTTCACAATTTTTGTGACTTTGAAAGACTTTGTGGCAAAAGTACATGTAATTTTAGCCCAGCTTTCCTTCCTCTCTCATCTTCATCCTGCCATGCTTCAATTAAAAAAACAGTATGGTGGCAAGCTTTTTTCTCGAACAGGTGAAAATTGATGCATGAAGATGTCATCCATATAATCAAATCAGTATGGCCTATCTAACAGTTCTGGTCCCTGTTGGCATTAACGAAAGCCTGGCAGGTGGTGAAATGAGAACCATCTATCAACTAAGTCTACATCATTAGGGATTTACAGTAAAATAGATTGATTCTCAATGACCTGCATAACACCTGTGATGATAAAAATACGCCTGTTATAAGAGTGGCCCAAATCCAATTGCCGAATCCACGCTTGGCCTGATTGACATCAGAGGTGCTTTTAATTGGCAGTTTTATTCCTGTGCCTGAGTCAACACTAATAAAGTCTCCAGATGTCTTGCCCCCCTCCCACGCCCAAGCATGTAGGTGTTCAATGATATATTGAAGGGAGTCTTTTTTCAAACATCTAGTCTTGATGAAACAGGCTTGGTTAAATGACAAAAGAAAGTTACAGATATTAGGACCCAAGAAGTTTACAAACTTGTTGCAAGTGAAATATCTATTCAAATCAGAGAGCTACATAATGACCACCTATGGAACCAATTTTGGTACCAAAATAGCCCCTTAGCAGTACTAAAGCAAATTCCCTTATATCATTAAACTGCAAATCAGGCAAGTCTCATTGTCCACTATGGATGAGTAAAAACAGCAATTACAGACGAAATAAGCTGAGATTACAGTGATGTGCATGACTGCATGCAAAGATAGCATGATTTGGTGTTTAATAAAAGAACAATCCATCCATTTCATGAAAGCCTTAGATGATCTTGCTGTATGTAGTTGGCCTTACTGGAGCATGGAATGGACTTCAGGGGTGTGGTCCACATCAGACACTTAACGGGCATCACTGAAGTCACAAGTTTGTTGTGTATCTAAAGTGGTGGGTAATGAAGGCAATAGAAACAGCCTACAATGTCAAGCCTTTTTGAGGCTGTAGGGGCTGTGTCTAGGGTGCAGTATTGTAAGGCCCATACCTCTCCTTTCACCACTTTTTCCCTCCAACCCAGGTCAGGTACCCACTTTACACCTGGGTGGAATGAGGAAAGTCAGGTACCCATTTTACACCTGGGTTGAACGTAGAAAGTGCCTTTCCAAAGGACACATTACATGTATGTCTTACAAGGAATCAAACACATCACCTTTTGATCATGTCTGCTAAAGCCTAACCACTTGGCCATTTAATGCCACTACATCCTGTTTATCAACACAATAAAATAACCTACCTTTTCAGTTGTTGTTTCATGATCAGGTTTCTTGCTTGGTGTTTCCATGGGTGCTGGCTGTGGGGTAGGAGGAGAAGGAGGGGGAGGGGGAGGAGGGGGAGGAGGAGGGGGAGGGTCTGTGTTCCTCTCTGTGCAGATGCCAGCAGCAACCATGGCAAATGTCTTCACTTTAGGAACCTGCTTGTTAGCTGTTGTACCCTGGGTAGACAACTCACTCTTGGGTTCCATTGGCTGCACAGCTTGGACCTAATAGTGTCATATACATGGCAAAAGTAAGGTCAATGTTGTATTCAAGTTACTCACATTTCTTTGCTAATATATAATACAACTTGATTTTAAGGGACTTGATGGCACCGGTAGATTTGAAGATTTCAGATGTCACAACTCTCAACATGCAAAACAAAAAACAGTTAAATACATTTAGATTCCTGTGTTTAATTAGAAAAGATACAGAAACCCACGACTAGCCCCAACTGATTGTAATGGGCTTTAAAAACATACATGTATATGATAGCCCTTATTGCTTAATAGCTAGAATTCCATGATTAATTTTGTATTTGTATTTCTATTCTGTAGTTTGCATCCAACCACATGAAATCTGCTGTACTTGTTGATGCCTCAATGATTCTTACTTTGTAACCAAGAAGTCTTAAAATATTTATTAAGCAGTACCAGTTTATGACTTAATCTCAAACTTCTTTATGCTCTATGCTACAAAATAGGGAAAAATGCTTTAAAAAAGACCTTATACGAATTGCATTTGTTTTACTTTATTACATGCTATTACTTGTGAACCTATGCTTGCACTAAACAATGTGTGACGTGCAGAGAATGCAAGAATTACTAAACGACTGTTTATATTCAATATCACCTAAGCCCCACGGACATCCACGGTGATATGACATAACAAGCAAAGCCCCCCATATCCTTGTGGAACCCTATTCCATTATGTAAACAGACCATCTGGGCATATATCAACGTTAGGGTGTGTTTCTGTAATCACTGCTCGCAGGAGGAAGGAGTGCTGATCCCTTCAGCCATGGAGTATAAATGCATTCTTGTTGGAAATGAGAAGTGTCATACCACAGCCTGGCACGGCTATTTTCTCTGGCCTGTATATTTAACAGTTGGTTTTGTTACGGATAAAGTGCAGCCGTTCTTATTAAATATCATATGTTTCTTTGAATACTATGAGATGATGGTACTGTCCTTGGTGCTGAAAGCCCAAGGTCCTTGGTTTTGTAAATTATAAGAATTGTATGTCATGTACTGGCAAGATGAAAAATAGATGAGCCCTCTTGGTTACTTTTAAGTTTTTCACAGGACTGGCATGACTAATTATAACAACTTCTGCCTTGAAAACCAGTTTCTTTTTTAACTTTTACTTCAATTCTGGATCTAGGATTTCCAAAGAAAAATTGTTATTGGGACTTCCTGCCTATGTCTTTATTTATGTCTCCTTAAGAAGCAATTTCAGTATGTAGTCAATATTGAACCTCCTCTGAAGAGCCATCTTCACTTCACTTAAACAGTAACATGTGAAGTACTCTCAAGAAATCTTGAGATTTAAAGAAAGAGAAAGGCATAATGTAGTACGTAAATAGTGACCTTGATATTTCCATAAGGTTATAAGAAATTATAGTCACCTAGTTTAACTTATTTAACTTTGTGGGAAGTGTTATTATTGATTTTCTTCCTGTACTAGTGTTGCTTTAATTGGTTGATATCATTTTCATTCTTTTCTTTCATTTGTGTATTCTGTTGTACTTCTGTTTTGGATCCGTGGTACGTGTTATCTTTTGTGTTATTGTTGTGTTTGTTTGTTATTCTGTAGAATGATCAATATCAATTATGTGGGTAACAGCAAAAAGGCACAAGTTTGTAGCTGTTTGATGAACGATAGGACTGTTTTAAATGTCAGTTGTCTGGGGATCAAACTGTGTGATACTTTTGCCAATGTGACCTTATTATTTTACAACTTATATTTATATTAATCATGATTGCAGCCTATATATCTATTGATTAGAACTAGAAGTCGTGTTAGTTCTAAATGCACTAAAATGTTGATAAATATTGTTAGTAAAATGTACTGATAGAGATTTGTCAACTTTCTGCAACTCAGTTTTGCCAATAAATCAAAACATGTAAAAAAAACTCTTTTAAAGTGTGCTGTTTGAAAATTTGCAACTTCAACCATCTTTGCCAGGTTATGTTTTTGGTAGCATTTGTATTTGTAGGTTGTAACTTATTCAAATCCGTACGTGATTTTCATAACTTTGAGTGGCATAATCTTTTAGTATCGGGTTTATCCACAATTATTGATTTGAAACTTTTACCTTAAGAGTCTGCATGCCTTTTTCTGTATGGCATAGAGAGCTATTTCAATTCAACATTAACCTTAATCATAGTTGGGCCGCAAGTCAACATGTTAAGAATCATTATGGGTAAATTATCTGTGGTGTCACTCAGGTCAATTAATTCTATGTTGGACCTTCTTTGCTATACTTAATGTTTCCAGGATCCCCCCTGCAGGCTCTCACCTTTGTCTCCTGGTCCCCTTTTGCAGGGCTGCTGACACCATTTGTGCCAGTGCCGTGTAGTGATTCTCCACCATCAGCCTCATTTCTTGTCTCTGCTTCTACTATTTTGTTTGTTTTTGCAGCTGATACAACATGTATGTGCTTGACTCTCTTGCCCCGTGTTTTCAGAACAACTGTCCAAGTATCATCATTGTCACTTGTCTCTTCGACATCTTCCTTTGCCTTGCCACTATTCTCATCATTGTCTTGGGTCTGTGTCCCTGTTTGGTCCTCGATGTGTAGGATTTCTTTATCCGGTAGCAACTCTTTTGGCTTCTCTTCCTTTTCAGACTGAGTGCTACCATCTGGAGCCTCCTTCGATGCTTCACGAGGCGGACACTTTGAAGAATTGGCAGATGATGACTTCTTCGAATTTTTCAACTTTCTCCTTGGCTCCTTCTTCTCTGGGACAGCTTCTTTCAAGTTTTCCTCAGTCTTTTCATCCGCCTCGTTGCCGCCTACCTGGCACTCTACAGAGTGTGTTTCACACTCCTTGGAACCCGTCTCACTGGTTTGGCATTCTGTAGAGCGGGTTTTTGTTGGCCTTGACTCTGTCTGAGCTTGGAACTCGTCACTGCTGGTTTGAGACTCTGTGCTACTGGTCAGCACTTTCTCTGTACTGGAGTCGTGTTCACTCGAGTGGGGGTCACCATTTTCGATGATGGTTTTCTCTGTCGTTTGAGATTCTGTTTCTGAAGCTTCAGACTTCCTACAATCTTTTTGTTTCTCAAGGCGCTTACGCCAGTCTTCAAGAAGAGCATGGTCAAGTTGGATATCTTTCCACTCATTGTGATTTGGCACCTGCAGTAAATGAGAAATCAATGGTCAGTTGTAAACATCTCTGATAATACTTTTAAATTCATCAAATGCCTGCTTCAACAGACAGCACTGTCGCACAGCTTTAGCTAAAAAGTTTGTCCAAATGCATTGGAGGCTTCTTGTGTAAATAAAAGCATATAACTGAGATAACTGTGAATGAAAGCTAGATTAAAACAATGAACACCATGATGACATTAAGTTTTTACTCTCAGTTAAGTATAGAGTAAGGGATCATAAAAAACTGTAAGACTGCAGTACGGTACCTGTGTCCCCTGAGTTGCTTGAGCAGAGGCACTATGTGATCCTGTGCAGTTCCTCCCATTCTCCACCCAGCCACCCCTCCCTTCCCTCCCCCGCTGTGGTGGTTCCAGCCATCCATACTCCATCCTCTGCCAGTCAGGCATGATGTTGGAGTGGTCAGTCCACACCGGGGCGGGGGCAGGAACCATCCCCCAGGGCGGCTCTGCAGGGAACCAGCCGCCATCTCCCACCCACGTGTCAACGTTCCCGTTCCATCGGGCATGGTAGTTGTTCCGCCTCTTCCGATAGCGGCCCCTGCGGTCGCCGCCACTGCTAGCATTGCTGTGCACGCTCCGGTTGGACTTCCTGCTCCGCTGCGAACTGTCGCTTTCTGTGGAGGCGGCATCTCCGTCGTGGTGGTAGCCATTTTCTCTCGGAGGCTGGACGGCAAGGTACCTGCGGCTTCTATTCCGCCAAGCCTGAACCTTCTCGTGGTTAGTTCGAAACGGCCTTCGGTTCTTCCTCCAACAGCTCCCTGATACAGGATCTGAATAGGCACTTAGTTTTCCGGTGCTCTCTACTTCTATTTCCTCTCCTTGACTACACTCCCCACTTTTCCCACACTCGGCTTCCTTTTTCTCACTACCTTCTACATCCTGTTTTTCTATCACTGGGCTATGGCTATTTGCACTCTCACTATCACTAATATCACTACTAAAGCCATGTATTGACAGATTCATCCGTGCAGGTTTCTGTAGATTTCTGTCATTCGCGTCACTTACTGGCATGTCCTTTTTGGTAGGGCTGTTGAGGGTTATTTGACAGTGTGTGTTTTTGCTTTGTAGATTGGCTTGGGTTGAGGAGTTTTCTTTCTTTTTCTTTTGGTCGGTTGGAGCCTTTACTTGAACCTCTGTACCGCTGAGGTCTTCGTCTCGGAAGGTCATGACAGAGAAGTCAATACCACTGTCAAGATCATCAGTGCCTGTTGCTAGAGGAAGAAAGTAGGAAAAACAGTCAATTATAAACATAGAAAATATGTTTCCTTTTCAGAATCATTATAGGTTGTGTATGATAATTTTGATGTAGCAGCATTTACAAACAAGTTGTGATAGCACTTACCACTGACAAGGGTCTAAGGCAGCCATTCAGGAATACATGCGCAGCTATCCCAAAGTTTCTGATCAACATAATGACCAAGCCTTTACTGTAAATTGACACTTTGCATGCAGTTACATGACTTTTGTATGTCTTACTATTGAATAGCAGTCAGCTACATGTATAACAGATGACACCTGCCAATTATGATGACCACATTAGCCACACTGTTCACACTCAAAGGTATAATTAATTTACTAAACTGACATCAAACTTTTCCTCTAGATCTAACTTTGCTGCAATTCAACCATTAACAACTCTGCTATTCGAATTCCAGTTTCATTGAATAACTCAAATAAACTTACCTTTATTTTCATATGTTTTCCTATCCTTTCCACATGGTTTTGCAGCATTTGTTGGTGCACTTTGAGGAGGGGCATGTTGCCTGTGAGGTGGGGATGCCCAGACCCCTAACTGTGTACTTGTGGTTGTGCTTACTGTCACAGAGACTGGTGCCTTCTGTGCCCAGGGTGCTATGCTAATCTGGTTGACAGTGGTTGTAGCCCTTGGTTTGTCCTCTCTTGTTGGAGTGCGGACGGCATCTCGAGGTTTCGCTGTAGACGCGATGCCAGCTGGAGCACTCACGTTAGACTTGACCTCCCAGCCCCAGTCATCTCTGTCTTGACCCTCCCGCTTTCCTTTAAAAAAAAAAAATCATCATGACTTGCCTTGAAGAATGTGACAGGTGGTGAAGCACCAAAACTTCGGATGTAAAAACCCACTGGTTGTTAAAAACAGATACTATAAGGAGGATCAATTAATGTATTGCACCTCCTTGCTTATCACCATTAAATGTTCTTGGTTGCAGATGGGTGTAATTTCTGGAAGGCTAAACTTCCTTCAGCAAGCCATTCCATCAGTGTGTCCTTATAATGCCCAGTCCTTCATTCTTTATTTAACTTTGTCTGTTGCTTGACCCCTAAGCAATTTCAGGATGACAGGACTTCATCTTGATGTTATTTTTTATATAATATAGTTGGTATCATCCATCAAGCTGCCTAAAAGGTCTGTAACAATTTATCAGAATAGGTTGCCCCATGTTATGAATGATTGTGTAATGCAAAATAAATCAAGTGAAGCAACTTGATGAATCCTCTGAAGTGTCAGGCATTTCAGATAGCATCTGCTGTCATTAATGTCACTGATGTCTGATAGTGGAAATGTCTGACACTTCAGAGAATTTATACATTTGCTTGATTCATTTTGTACATGTAATACTTTAATTAAATGTTCTACCTGGATGTCTAACCTTCATCAACATATGACTAATTAATGCACCAAAGATGACATTTTTATTACACTTGATAACAGTCCTTTCAATCATATAAACTGATATACCAAAGAGCTTGATAGCTACATGTACAGAACAATCCAGTATCCAATCAAACAGGGTAATGATGCCTGGCCATATGCATGAAGATCTGACAGTGACAAGCTGATTGCTTTCTTGAAGTCCCTTGTGCAAAATCATGCCTGTCAGGTCAAGTCGTATGCGAGATTACTTGCCATGTTCTATTCATTACAGCTCGTAGGTAGAAATTTTATTCCCCAAAAAAGCCCCTGTGGCAGGGGAAGGCCTTCCTCCACTTATCCCAAATCACACTTCTCATCTGTGAAAATTAGGCAGCACAATGGAGCCACATTTGAGCATTTGACAGGGAATACAAACTGCCAGGCTTTTAGCCACGATTGGTAATGTAAATAGGACACCATCAAATGGAGGTCTCGTTACAGAGTGCTTAGGCAACTGGGGCATGTTGGTCTTTTTCCCCGTAATTTGCTACACTCGTACAAACATTCATAACATGCAGTAGTATACTCGTTGGACAGTCTTTTGTCTAGAAGTGGCTGCAAATCATGTGAGATCAGTAGTGACTAGTAATGAATTTGAACCATTGCACCACAAGTCATGCCCTTACTCTTTTTCAAAAGGTGTGTATAATGTGCATAGAGTGAGGCTCTCCTTGAACACTGGATTTCCATTTCACATGCTCTCCAAGAGACGTCTCTAACCGAAGCTACATGTAGGTACTGATTTTAAACATCATTAAAGTACACTGAAACCAAGAGCACAGTGCCAAAGCATGTAGGTGGATTTGGACCCAGGACCTATGGGTTCAGGGCCAAATGCCCAGTACCATTGCACCACACAACACCACAAATGTATTATTCATTCCACCTGCAAAAATTTCAATATTTTTAAGTGAAATATTACATCCAAGTTTTAATTCCTATCCTACAAGTCCACTCAATCACCGTATAAATACTGCAACACATTCCTTTTCATGTAGTACCATTCACTGCCTTATTAGTTTGATATATGGCCATCATATTCTGAATAATTATTCTCAAATATCATTTCTTTAAAGTTTTCACATTGTCAGTAGCCAAAAACTGGCAAAATATATGTAAAATTTAAAAATCTGCACTTCATTAATTCAGTAAAAAATGGTCATGGTAGTAAAAGTAATTATCGTTGCATATTGAGCGTTTTCATACATAATTGTATGACTAATATCATCATCAAAGCGGATATGTCCATGAAACAATAATAACAATTATTATTCCACATTTTTTTCTATGTTGAGAAACACACGTTAATTAATCACGTTGGGTAATGAAGAAAAACTGCAAAAAAGTGTCTTAGTCCAATACAAACATTTGATGGTACAACTTCCAACAACCCTGTAAACTAATCTATCTGTTTATGATTCATGAAGGAAAAGAAGACTCAATCAACATGCACAGCAACGCCAATGCTAGGCACTGCATTTTAATGCAAGACTGTGAGCAACAAGTTAAAAATCTACAACGGCTGGGAGTCATGGGTACTAATTCGTCATCCTTAACCACGGCCATTCAAGAACAAGGGGATTGCAGCCTAGGAAGTGCATGGTGCATTAAGTAGTGTGTGTTAGTGCCAAATCACCACAGCCCTTGAGCATCTGGCTGTGCAATTAGAGGCATTAGCGGTGTGGCAGGCTTGCCAAGCAGAGCTCAGAGGTGTTTCCATGGATGTAAAATTGGAACCTTCTCACGTGCTCTTGTCCTTAATGCTTGGTTGCCACCCTTCCATATGCACAAATGGGAAAAGATGACTACGGCAGTGAAAAAACATGCAGGCATCTACATTTTGTGGATGGGTGGAAAATTCCCAGAAGTGGGTTTTGATAAGACCCATTAAAGACATAACATGTTTGAACTGCAGAATACAGTCCTTGAGGACTGTATGGCGAGGGGCACATGCCTTATACATTGTGTATGAGATGCTGCATGTCAGGCAGGGTAAGAGCTTTGTGCAACATTAGAGCAAAGTGGCTTTATCTGTTATCACCAAATCATAACAGTCCCAGGCATAGTACATACATCTACATGTATAAGTGTAGCACATGCATTTGTGCTTATGTTGAGTCACCTCAATATACAGGTGAACTGTAATTTCAAGGCAAAGTACATATCATGATGTAGAATTATTTATATTCAAAATGTATGTACAAAATATTCCACTTAATAGCTTTGTTGAAAAATATGAAAATCTAAATCTTGTATTGCCCATCTGAACTGACCATACACAAGGTATAAATTAAATCAAAAATTGATAAGGTTTTTTTCACTGGATCTCATGGTATCATATAATTATGCAGCATACACGCCGGCATGTGCCCTCTACATTTTGTACTAGTATATGCACATCCTCAGGTCAGTCTTACAACTTGATGAAGTGAAAGTCTACTTAATATCAACCAACATTGCCAGTACATGTAGCTAAGTGATGCACAATAAAGTCAATTAGGAAAGAGCGGCTGAAATGGTCTTCGGCTCCTTATAATTAGAAAAGGTAAGGGTCAAAATATCAGCTCCTGACTTGATTGTAATCCAAATATTGGGGACATCATTTACCACCTGACCCTCAGAATGCTGGAAATACCTTTTTTTCAACATGTTACAGCAGGTATTCTACATGTAGGTCTATATTGGAATGTTAACAGAAAATTCAACATTTTGCATACGGTTTGAATGTGCATAAATATCAGTTATCAAATAAAATGCATATATTACAGCCAAGAAACATGCAAGGGAGTGACAGCAATCTATTATTTTAGACCCTTTCCCATTTGCTATTTTTTTAAAATTCAGTCATTAGCTGTAATGTCACAATCATTTGTGTATTTTCTTTTTTGCTAGAACTATTGTAGAGCAGATAGAACTGTTACCAAGTACAGTAGGAGTATTCTCACTACGTTAAGCTGAAAGCCTATATTCAGATGTAACAAATGCTTCTGTTGATCAGGACTGTCCATGGTACTGAAAGCTATTCTACTTGGAGAAAAAACTGAGCATCCATAGATGTCTTTCAGTGAACGCTTAACAATCTCCATAGTGTTATGATGACATGCTACCAAGTTTCAGAATAAAGCTAGATGTTACTGAAATGTGGTAGCCAGTCAGCTTGTCATTGTGAGGGTCATTTGTATTCTGTTCCAGTCTCTCAAATGCACACTAAGAACCAGACATTTCATTGCACGTTGACTTGAGTAAGCACTGGGGGGTAGCAACCTAACTTGGTGAAAGAAGATGACAGCACATGGAGTAGGCTCAAGAGAGTATGTGAAGGCTTGCACACATCTCACCCCATTGCACTTGAAAGGGTTGTAAATGTCACCGTTATCACAAATAAAATGCCTTGACAAGTGGGACCTGCCCTGGATTTCTGCTGGTTTGCCATCTGAGCCTCGTGTGTGGGTGTGGTATGATCTGTGTGTGCCGGAATGCTCCCTGATAGTCCATTACGGCCAAATCAATGCCGACCAAATGGACTATCAAGTCACTCTTACTCCCACATGCAAATTACTACAAAGAGTGTGACTGAATAAGAAACCGTTTCATATAGGTTTAACATTACAAACTGGCCATTTTGTATGCAACTGCATTTCACTGAATTTTTTCAAGAATTTAAAAAAATGTTTTGCTACCATAATATATGATAATACGAGTGGTGGCTTGGACTTCACAGTTTCTTTGATACAAATTACATTAAAGCAAAAAGAAAAGTCTAATGATAGCAAACAGTTCAATTATGACGTTGATATTGACTAGTATACTGATACATCTTATTTTTGTTTAGTTATAGTCTACCATCTTACCAATGTCACTATTTGCTGCTGCAGCTAGTTCTAAAGACAAGGGTCCAATGGACTGAAGCCAGGTTTTTTTATTGACTCAATTTTGGTTTCCTGGTTGTAAGGGTACACTCCCAACATCAATCAATCCCTAACAATGGTAATACGACACATCCTTCCATGAGAGCAGCCTACACACAGGAAGAAAACCTTTATCTGAAATAGATCAATTGGCCAGCGTGCATTAACTCTCAAGTCATCTGGAGCTACTGATTATTCATCAGCACCTAGAAAAAGCAGCTGTTTTCGTCTGATACCGGGTTTGTAAGGAAACAACACAATTAAGACCACTTTTTCACCGGAAGGCATTGGTATTACTACAGAAGGCTAGTGAAAAAATCAGACAGTGTGTGTAAATATTTTGGAGTCAATCCAGGTGGCCAGGTTCTCATATTTCACAAAATCAACCAGCACTCCTGTGTAAATGTGTTGACTCACATTCTAAAATTAACCATGAATACCATGCACAGCTTCTAAAAAAAGGCAGTTCTTAAAAATAAAAATATAAATCCTGACAAAAATTTCAACTACACACAAGCAAAACAAAGTAAAAACACCTTTTTAGTATAGGATACATGTATCTAATAGGTCAAAAGTCAAGTGCTAACCATAGAAACTAGAAACTACATATACATGTAGATGACATAACCACCATATGTGAAAGGTTACAACATTGTCCTTGATCTAACACTCTTCCTTTTGAAAACAACAGACTGTGACCTTACAAATACTATTTTTAAGGCCCCATACTCAGGAGAAATGATCTGGGTTTTACTTTGGATATGTGACCTTATGGAAGTGTAACTCCGGTGTTGGTTCAAAGGGTCAAATGATAGCTGGTTGGCAAAAATGTAAATGTCACTAGTACTGTGCCTGGCACAGATGTGGATTAACGCTTGTTTTGCAACTTTGTTTTTTTACTACAGTAACTGTGGAGAAACTTTCACAGTGTTCTTATCTCGCAGTAGGAGGGAGATTTTCAGTGTTTCAAATTTGCTCTTCAAAGTTGAAACAAGAGTCCCACGACCTCATACATTCGCCCTTTATACATTTTTACTTATTGATTTTGCAAATACAGTATTTAACAACTTCAGTATTTAGCTCCTTTGCATGAATCATAACAGTAATCATATTTTCCACCCAATGACAGACTTATCTTAAGAAAGAACACTATACTAACATCTCATAAATTATGCAAATAAGGTAATGACTTGAATAAATCATGTCAATGATGTTCATCTTCATTTAACATCCAAATGTGGAAAGTAACAAATTCCCAGCAGTTATCATCATGACAAATAAAGCAATTTCGAACTAATTAGGCAATTTAGGTGCTCATTTACATAATCACTATATGGCAATGATCCCCTCGTTTTCAATTACATATGTCACAAGTGTTTAGGCCTCACCAATTTAATTTGTTGGTTCTCGGATTTTTTCAGAAAAAATATGAAGCGACAGGGCGAAAAAAAATAAAAACAGGTCTAGGCATCCTATCATAGCCCCAAATGCTACAATATGAGCCATGAAGTCAACAAAAAAGGCTGGGTTAAAATTTAAAGTATAAATTTTGAACTTTTAATCAAACCACTGCATTGATAGATGGAAAAAACTGTAACAACTAGGAAGAAAAGGAATTGTCTCAACTGTTGGGGGCAAAATCTTAGCATTTTTTAGTTGATTCACAACCAGAATCTCTTTTTTTTTTTTTGCAAATCAGAAAAAAATGAAGAGGCGAATCCGAGAACCAACAAATTAAATTGGTGTGGCCTTAGTTGTCCTTTGAACAAAGCAGATTTACAGAATTTCCTCATTGATTATACAAATTAGATCTTGTTTTGCATAATTGTTATTTAGTCACGTCAAGCATCATTTCCTCTACCTATATACCTAAAATCACAACTATCCGTCAACTGGTTCTTGAGTCATCCTACTTCGAAAAGTTGTCAACAAACGCTCCTGCAGTTTCAGGACAAGCTGCCCACCTACCAAGTTTCATGACAATCCATCCATAGCTTGATTTATGCTGTTCACCGACAGACAACAAACAAATGGACAAATGCTACTGAAAACATAACCTTCTTGGCAAAGGTAACAATTCTGTAGCACAGCAGTCGTACAAGGAATACATACTCGCAGCACTGTGAATTTGCAGTAGAGAGGCCACTGTGAAAATACAACCACCACAAAAGTTTCACAATCTAAAGTTACTCCAGTATTGGTTCGAAAGGTCTAATAGTTGATAGTAGATAGTTGGTGGGCAAAAGGTAAATGTCACAGCTCTATGGCACAGACATGGATCAATGCCACTTGTCTTGCACTTTTTTTTAAAGTTCTTCCTACAAAGGGAGACCTTAGGAGATTTATACGCATCATGGTAAGAATGACATGTATTAAAAGGATCAAGGCAATGCCTATCTACACCCCTCCTTATGGCGCATATTGGCAAGCATCCAATCGTCATTACCTCTGATTTTTCCACTTGCTTCCCTGTCAAAGCTGGAGTCTCTCCATCGTGTGTGCAGTTGTCTGGGGGAGCCACGGTCTCGGTTACTGGTCTGCTGCCGGCGTCTCTCCTTCTGCAGTTTTCTGTCTTCTTTTGTGGGTTGGGTGATCCATTTGCCTGAAAAAAAAATCAAGCATTTTGCCTGACCCTTATCACTAGTTTGGTTTTCTATCCTTCACACACTGGGCAAGGCTGGAATGTACTTAAAAAGGTTCGACTTGATACTGAATCAGCTACGTACTTGGGTTAAAGAAAATACATGTAGAAATGAATACCGGTAGTAAAAAAATATACTATACACCATGTATGGGCACATGTCAATTTTCAAGATCTTTCTACTTCTTTTTCTTGCTCTGTCACCATTTTGTTTAAAATTTGAGATATTCTTCATGTATGCAGTGCTAAATGGCGGTCAGTAAAACCAATTCTGTACAGTTCATACAGTATACAATATATGTAGCAATGTGTTACATTCATCAAAAGTGACAAACTGGGCGACTACATGCAGCTCCCACCTATGATCCCACAACCACTGCTGATTGTTGCACTTATCAGGAAGGAGTTAAGCTTGCCATACAACTTCTCAACCCCTTGAGCAGAGTGTACTGATGCAACTTGTATTACTGATAAGGGGGTATGGCTAGTTCTGCAACGATATGCTTGCCCCTTGCCGCTTCAAATACACGTTTGATCCTGGCACCTTATGATGTAGAGTGAGGGACTTAAGGGTGTCTGATTTGATCTTATCAAACAATACAGGCAGTGCTAGAAGTAGTTTGGCTTTCTTTCTTCTGTACTCAACTTGGGACCTCGTAAGTCTTAGTAGAAATGTAGTTTTTGGAGAATTTCTAATGGATAGGTGGGGAGATGGTGGTAAAAGATCATTTCTTTCTTAATGTAGTAGTCACTTTCAAATCACAAATCTAGCTGTAAGTCTTGGCAACATACCATCCTCTTCCAGCTCATTCCCTTCTTCCTTTCTTCCAGAGTCGTCCTTCTGATCTGGGGTGTCCTGGACTTTTGGCTGCTGCTCCCACGGGGTGGTTTTAGAGGGCTGTGTGGGTCTGTCCTCCTCGGAATCTGATGCTCCTCTAACTTTGTCAGACAACAGGAAGCCATTGGTGATTCTCTATAAAATAAAAGGGGAAATTGTGGTGTTATTAATAAATCCTTTTAAATATGTCTTGTAATTGTCTTGACATCATAGGTTGTCAATGAATAGATGATTTTTTTTACCCTACCTTCTATTTGTCGTTAAATACATGTCGTTTGTAATGTCTGAGCAGTTTCATAATTGTGCAACATCCATTTGGACTAAATCTAACTATAAATAGAAAGCAGTAGACAAATGTATGATGTCTGTCCCAGGTATCACTCTTGAAATATGGTGTGGATAGAAATTGATTGTCAAGACTTAAAGGTGATGATTTTCAATGTAATGTGTCCCAAAGCTATGTAATGGTGACAGGACAAAGACTGACCAAATCTCATGTCATACAGAGACATGACACTAAAACTTGTGATTTCGTTCTTCCTGGTATGATTGGCAATCCTGTCACCCTGGTACATGTACATGTAGGATGGCCAATCATACCAGTTCTGGATCTCTCTAGTGAAAATTTACCCCACTGCTAGCTAATCATATCTGCAAACCACTAGACCATACATGGTACTGTGAAACTTTCCTGTGGTATGTTGCGGTAGGAGGAAAAGGGTTTTAAACCAAAGTTGAAACAATTCTATAATAGTAAATTAAGATATTAAGACATTGTCATAAATTCACAGTTGTCAACATTACAACCAAGAAGATAAAACCATGATCACAAAAGTTTAAAAATCTACAGATTCTGGAACAACATGGCTGCCCCAAGTTTGCTGTTGTTATAAAGGTTACAATAACAGAAAGAAGGATGTAAAGCCAGGCAACTGACAACATACATGAGGTGAATTAAGTGTCTGTTACAGTGAAATAAAAATAATGATCCCCTAAGGATGCTACAATGTAAAATACCACTCCATCTGTCAATAATTCATTCATCAATGAGATGCTATTCATTACAAAGCCTTGGGTGTATAAAAAGTACTGCTGTAAGTATGTTATAGAGTTGTAATTTGATTCTGATGAGAAAAGAGCCATATTGTTTCCACAGAATGGTAACATTGTATATCACATTAGATACAAATTAAAAGATCACTCCAGCATTACAGCAAAACGTACCAAGTTTCCTACTTACTTAATCTGATTTTGACCTGACTTTGACAAGATTAACATCTCTATGACCTATGTTAAAGGCTTGGCAAATGTGAATCAATTCATTTGGAATCACATGACTGTGTATTTGATACAATAAAACATAGAGATCAAATGCTGTTGATTGTTGTGAAGCAAGTTTTAATCTGTTTGCAAACAATCCCTAACTTGTAATGTGTCTGCAGTAATTCTCTGTTGTAATCTATTGCAAATAATGCTATCATTACTTTAGTGTGGAGGCAAAATGAGATACACCACACAGGGCTCAAAATATGTCTACTCCTACAAAACCTGCACCGGTCCATGTACTTGGTAACTGTGTAGTGTTGACTGTTACTGTTAACTGTAAAAGAAATATTGGCAATATTTTCTGAATAGTTTTTAGTATGATTCTGAGTGGTGCAGGTAAAATTTGTCTGGTGCAGGCAATTTACAATGTTTTTTGCACCAATACAGGAATGGAGAAAACATATTTCAAGCCCTTTGCTATGATCCTTGTTCGTCCATCCATACCAAGCCCTTTGCTATGATCCTTGTTCGTCCATCCATACGGATACTTCCATGCTAAAGCAGCCATGGATTCAGCACCAAGGAGGAGGAAACCTGTACTGTAGCATCCTAGGTGCTCCGTCTGCATATGAAACTGTTACATCTGCTGTACTGTTTTTGACGGCATCGTGACAGAAAATGTCGTGAATAAAATATGTCATTATGAATTGCTGCACAAAAATTTCACGTTATGAGATTTACTATCTATCTAGACATCATTTAGCACATTATGACTGTATGTACATTTTCCCCACCATCAACCTTAATTCAAAATCCAAGCTTTTCTAGTAAAATGTCTACATCAAACTGAGATCATATAAGAATGTTGTGATTATATTCTTAATAAGTTATGATATTTTTTGGTTGAAATAGCCATCAGCACAAGGGGGAGAGGGGCACAGCAGCTTGAATCCTAATTGATACCTGACAAATAAGTTTTATTTCCCCACTACTGGTGCCCCAACATCATTCACAGACAGGGTTATTTAGCTAAATGGTGAAAAATGTGTGACTAGAGTGCCACACTAGACTTAAATCAGATGAATCATAGAATGCCCTTGCCATCTGTATTTTTATCGTGTCGAGTGAATGGTTAGATAACATAATGGAGGTTAAGCTGGAACGTGGCTATTCGGCTCAACCTTCACCTTGTACATTGCCAAGGTTGCAGGGTATTTACATATCCCTCACCATGCTGATTTATGTATGTTCATTTCATCATTTGTATTTTGATCATTTTGTAGGCTTACGTACAAATGTATGTAAAGATGTCAAATGTATTGTAGTATACAGCATATTCTTAACATTTAAGTGTCAGAAAAATAATAAAATCACTGTAATTAATAGTACCTCTCTTATTTTATCTTATATGCATCCAAAAAATTTGCACCAGTGCACCTATTCCCAGAAATGAATTTCAAGTCTTGCTGAAGGTTATATTGCTAAAGGCCTGGTCACAACCCGCTTCTGCGTGCTGTCTACGTGCAAAAATGTGGGCAAACGTAGGGCATCCGTGCGTGGTGAGTACCTACGGATTTGGAAGCACGCAGACACGCCGTAGAACTTTAAGTGCATGTACAACTTCTTCTGCGTGCGGTCTGCGGATTCACCACCCGTGCGTGCGAGTACGAGCGACGCGCGTGCCCCGTACGAACCGTACAAAAGAAGCACGTGTGAGTACGGCCTCCTTACGGTAAAGTTGCAATCGTACAGAAATCGTACCATTTGCGCAACGAACAATGCACGCAACCGCTCACGGCCAGACGCGGCGTGCAGACCACACTCTTACACCTTGCATAACCGTGCGAGTGATGTGCGTAGATGCCACTCCTTCCCCACGTTTTCAGAAAAAACGTAGCAGACGTAGCCTCCAAACAAATGTACGGACAAAAAGCATGCACGGCGGGTTGTGACCAGGGCTTAAAACATGCACCTGAAACCAACTGTTGACAGAAAGCTGTTAAGCCACAGCTTTGTCCATGATGAAACCACCCAACCTTTTGTAAAAAGCATCAGAGCTTCCTTTTCATACATGTATATGTAGTGCTTAATTCGTAATACAGACGCTCAGGGCCATTTTGTGTTACGTTCCCAAAGATTTGTACAGCTTAGAGTTAATCATGGAGCATTGCAAGCTGTTCTTCTTTGTTTAGTTTTGCCAGACAGACGACAATCATAGCAGACCAATCACAAGTCAGCCAGCTTGGCACCAGCATTGTACAAGGAGATAAGGGACCTTTGGGCCAAAGTTGCTTGCGTTAGGCTGCACAAAGGTTGGTCACGCTTTGCACTGACCTTGATACACCTCATACTGGTGTAGTTTTCAACAAATGCAGAGAAATGTCATGAAGTCTGAATGTTGCCAACAGTACTCAGAAGGAAAACTTTGCACATGACTAAATGCAGGAAGAAAAGCTGTTTGGAAAAGACACATATCAAGGGATTTCTGGGAAAGGGAAGAGTCGCTTGAAGATTTGACATGGATTAACGTGGTGTTGATCAAAATCTTTCAGCTCTTTATCCAGTGAAACAGAATCTGATGGTTCTGCATGTATTCTCGGAAACTCAAAATAAAATTCAATTTTGCTAAAACTCATATCATTCAAGCTCAGAGATACAATGAAAATGTACTTGACGACTTAAGATAGTATTCTAGGATGCAGAGTTCAGTCCTTTTTACTGACAGTAGGCTGAAAGTCCTCACATTTTTAATCAAAATAACACATAAACATGGGCCTAGTGGTGATGTACAAATGTCAATGA